CAACTTATTGTGCGTGTAAAATCAGTAAAAAAGAGGTAAAAGGGAGGCATACATGGTCATCCCAGGGCTTGTCTTCGTTGTAGATGACAGCAGCTCCAAAGCTCCTAGCAGGGTTGATGCCAGTTCCGGTGATGGGGATGGTGGCAAGGTGAACCATGAACACAGCAAATCCGATGGGAAGTGGAGCCAAGACCTTCATATGTATCAGATTAAATCAATATTTGCAAGGATATAATCCAAAATTTTCTATAAATTCAAGTTCATTGATGGACTTTGGGTCAAGAACTTATTATTGCCCGTTGACCCGTGTACAAATTAATTTAGGACCCTGATGAACCCCACGCGATTTTATGACACCTTTAGTACGACAGATTAGTGGCAAAAAAATGATTCTGTGGAGAATGAACCATGTTATATGTACAACAAATTTGCCAGAGGAGTTACAGGTTGTCAAATGGCAAAACTTCATTGGATTTTGCCCAAAAAACAAATTTAAAACATCCAATCAAGGGGTTGTTATTCCGAGGAGAACTCCTCCCTTGGGATAATAAGACTTGGGGGTGTGGGTGCGTTAGCAGAGAAAAAAAGTGCTTACAGGGACATGGGAGTCTCTGGCATTCCTCTTAGGATCAGTGGCTGAGAAAACGGTGTAGACCAAAACAAAGGTGCCAATAATTTCAGCACCCAAACCAACCCCTTTGTTGTACCCTGGAGCAAGTTCATTTGCTCCACCACCATACTTATGATAGTACGATTTTTGGAATGCTTTCACCAATCCCACACCACAGATTGCACCCAAACATTGTGCTACCATGTAAAGCACTGCTCTGATCAGTGACACCTTTCTTCCCAAGAACAGCCCGAATGTCACTGCTGGGTTAATATGTCCTCCTGTCACAATATGAAAAAGTTACTTATTTTCACAAGTAATTTACTTATTATGGTGCAGGTACCAATCAAGGAAAAGCTGGCTGAAACCTGTAAAACTGACCAGAGATACCGGCGGTGCAGTAGACAAGAATGAAAATCATGCCGCCGAAAGCCCATGCAATGCCAAGAATCCCAACGCCGCCGCAGTCGTCGCCGCCGTGAGCTGGGTCAATCTGGCTTTTGTAGCCTATAACGGTCAAAACTGTGACGTAAAGGAACAGCAAAGTGGCAACGAACTCAGCAATAAGTGCTCTGTAAAACGACCAGCTGCTCAGCTCATCAAAATCAATGAGAGGCGCCGGTGGCGGATCATGGTAGTCCTTGGCGGAGTATTCCTCCGCTGGCTCCACATGAGATTCGACGTCTTTCGTCATTCGTGGGGTGAGGGAAGTGTGAAGAATATAGAGAAGAAGTTGTAGGGCTGAAGCTGGTATACTCAATACTGTGTAGTGATAAGAGGATTGGTATTTATGATGATTAGGGGATGAATTTAATAAATGTAATAATTAGCCGCCCAAATAAAATTAATTCGGATTTCTTCGTTTGCATGGACCCACTTTTTGTCATTAACGGGCTCTCTTCTCCTACTTTCATTTTTCTTAATTTTTGGTCGGTTTGGCTTTTAAGCAAAATTTTACAAGTAAATTGTCTTGACATAACTTACTTTTAGTTATAAAAATGCTTTCAATCTTTTAAAATTTTAATGGAACTCTCTCCACCACACATTCATCTTACCTGTTTTTATGAGCTTATTTGTGAGTGATTTTGAGATTTGATTTTTTGACCGTTAGCAGAAAAGAGGGGTTCACTTGTGAGAGAAAAAGTCAAATATAGCGGTTGGAGTAGTGAAATAACGGTCAAAAAATCAATTTTTTGAATAAAAAATACTCTAAAACAGATTCTATATGAAAACCGCTTCTTCTTTTTTCATATATGACGGGACTTATTTGTGCTTTAATCAAAAATAAATATAAATTTTTCATTTTACTGTACGAGATGTAGCAAAGATGTCCTTGTTTGGTCGATTTAAATTCACAACTTTTCAGTTTTGTATATTCGTGTCTCTAAAATATAATTTTTATAGTGTTAACAGAGTATTTGAATTTTCATGATTATTTCGTACGTTTGTTATTTAGAGCTAATACTTGGCTCTAATGTAACATACTTGTTGATTACTAAAATTAATGTAATAAATATTAAGAGAAGTCGCTGCACCATCTAATTAATTAATCATAAAATAGTTGTGTCATCAATTGTTAATCTTATCTTTGTGGCTTAAAAAACTTAATCATTAATTATTTTTTATGAAATACAAAAAAGTGAGGTCAGATTTTTTTAAGTTTATTTCTAAATTGGCTCAGTTGTCATGTTGTGGGCAAGTGGCGGCTTGCCGGTTGAATTTATGTGTGTCACTGTCACACCTAAAAAGAGTTTCAATTATTACATTTACTTGGCTCATTAATTTTCATTACATTATATTTTATTCTTTTCTCCTTTTCCAACTACACAATTTTTTATAAAATAATATTACACGTAAATAAAAAAATTCCTTCTTTTTTTACCACTTATTTTTCAAAAATAATACTATTTCACTTATTTTTATTTTCAAAAAATGGGACCAAACAGTGGCTTATCTAACATGTGGTGCTGATTTTTTGGGGATTAAGATGATATATGTTCATGGGGAAATCCACTTAAACAACCACAATGGCGCGCCCCCAATAGGAGGGTGCCACACCACCCCTAGTTTTTCAGGAGTTTGTTCAACAAGCACCCATGTTCATGTTCCTATTTATTGCTCATAAAAGTAGATAGGTAAAATAAAAACATAATTAATATTTTTAATTAAATTAAATTGTATTAGTTAACACATAAATTCGTTATGCACTTTTTTCATTAATATTGTCTCAACTACAGACAAGCCCTAGGATATCATACTTATAAAACATTTTTATAATTATTTTTTTATGAATCTCAAATTCTAAAAATCAAAGTTTTAATTTCTCTCATTTTCACCCATTTATTTTCAAAACCTTAAAAACCAACCATGCTTTATCGCTACTATATAAAAAAGGCAATTCTGGAAGTATTATAGAGGCAACAGTAAATTATTCAATTTTGTTTCACTGTAGCTTTTTTTCTTTTAATTGTGGGAGAAAAACGACGTCGTTTGTTTTCAATCATTTTTCTATTTTCACACATCACTTCACTGCAATCATCACCTCCACTACAATATTTTTCAATTTTCACACACTACTTCACCTCATCCAATCTAACTGATAAAGAAAATAAACTGAATGATTTAATAAATTAAACAACAAAAAAAGTACAGGCATAAATAAAAAGAAACAAAAAAAGTTATTATAAAGTTTTTTAATTAAATTGAAATAACTAAAATTAAATTACTAAAATTGAAAAAATTACATTTTATCATAAAAAAAGAATTTTAAATTGAACAAAAAATTATTTATAATATGAAGAAAAAGAAATTTTAAAACAATTTTCAAAAAAATAGAATAAAAACAAAATAAAAAAGTTACGAAAATTAAATAAAGAATATACAAATATTATTTAATTAAAATTTAAAAAAATTAAGTTTTATCGTAAAAAGAAAAGAATTAAAAAGAATTTTTTTTAGATCAAAAAATATTATTTACAATATGAACAAAACAAATTTAAAAAATAAAAATAAAAAAAATCAATCTATCCATTCACGGAGAGATCTTCTCTTCGTGGATGGAGAGAATGGAGAGATTTCTTCATCCACTGTGGAACTCTCCATAGTCCATCCCACACACAATATGGATGGAGATATTTGTCTCCATATATGGAAAGAAATATTCTCTCCATCTATGGAGAGAATTTTTTTCCTTATTTATTTTTTCTTTTTATTAATTTATTTTGTTTATATTATAAATAATTTCTTTCAATTTAAAATTCTTTTTAGTTTGATAGAACTTAATTTTTTCAATTTTAACTAAATAATATTTATATATTCTTTATTTAATTTTCGTAACTTTCTTTAATTTTGTTTTTATTATATTTTTTTTGAAAATTTGTTTTAAAATTTCTTTTTCCCTCATATTATAAATAATTCTTGTTCAATTTAAAATTATTTTCGTTTTATTATAAAACGTGATTTTTTAATTTTAAATAAATAATATTTATTTTAAATTTTCATTATTTCAATTTAATTAAAAAACTTTATAATAACTTTTTTGTGAATTTAACAAATTAAACAACAAAAAAATTACAGGCAAAAATAAACAAAAAAAAGTTATTATAAATTTTTTTAATTAAATTGAAATAACTAAAATTAAAAAAATTAAGTTTTATCATAAAAAAAGAATTTTAAATTTAATAAAAATTTATTTATAATATGAAGAAAACAATTTTAAAAAAATATAACAAAAATAAAATAAAAGAAAGTTACGAAAATTAAATAAAGAATATATAAATATTATTTAATTAAGATTTTAAAAAATAATTTTTATCGTAAAAAGAAATTTTTTAATTCAAGAAAAAATATTTACAATACGAACAAAACAAATTAAAAAAATAAATGAAAAAAAAAAAATCAATCTCCATCCTAGTGTGTGTGGACAGAAAGAAAACGGAGGGAAATCTCTCTGTGGATGTAGAGAATCTCTCCGTCTACAGAGAGATTTTTTTTTTCTTTGTTTATTTATTTTTTTAATTTGTTTTGTTTATATTATAAATAATTTTTTCATTTAAAATTCTTATTAATTCTTTTCTCCTTAAGATATAACTTAATTTTTCAATTTTAATTAAATAATATTTATATTTTGTTTATTTAATTTTTGTAACTTTCTTTTATTTAATTTGTTTTGTTTTTAATATATATATATTTTTTTAAAATTTCTTTTTTCTTCATATTATAAATATTTATTTGATTTAAAAAAATTAATTCTTTTCATTTTATGATAAAATATAATTTTTTCAATTTTAATTAAATAATGTTAATTTTTAAGTTTTAATTATTTCAATTTAATTAAAAAACATTATAATAATTTTTTAGTTTTATTTTCCATTTCCTTTTTTTATCTCTTTTTATTTGCATTTATAGTACAAAGCCATATCCTTTCCCTATGTTGAATTGCAAGACGACCCGTTTTATTCCATTAATATGATGAAGAATCGAATATATCTTATATATAATTATAGAAAAATACTAATTATTTAATTAATAATAATTAGATCTTGATTCAATGTATGTTATATTCATTTCTTACCTTAATGTTTAAGATGAATTTTTTTTTCCAAAAATGGAAAAAATCAAGATAATGACTAAAATCGAGAATCCTAATATTAATGATTACCCTTCTCAACTCCACATCTAAAAGGTATTCCATTCTGCAAAATTCAAATGTTAAAACATCGAACAAGAAATAATTGAATAAAGTATAATCTCAAAAATTTAAGCGAACTCAATTGTAACTATCATTTTACATCAACACCAATAAAAAAACCAAATGGTTTAACAAATTAAAAAAAAAATTGCAGGCGAAAATATATATAAAAAAAGAAGTAATATAAAATCTTTTAATGGCAACGAACCAAACGATCGGACTTCACCAAACATTTCAAATCTTCAACAAGTTTTGAAAAATCTACAATTTTGATGCTGATAAAAATACAATAAATACAAAACTCGTGCAACGCACGTGACAACGACTCTTATTACTTAAAAATATCGACAATTCCACTTTCTAATCTCCATTAGTCATCACACTTAATATCCAAAACTGTCCTCCGAACATTTGCAATGATAATATTCTATTCAAATTTCATATCTAAATATTATCTTATGTCTTTCTTTTAATGTCTTTACTATTTCATGTTTAATGAATGGCTATAAGTACAACACGTGACCACCCCAATCATCATACATTTCTTTAAATATCGAAATGGTGTATATTTAGGAATGTCAATAGGGTCGAGCGACCGACGATCTGTTCGACCGTTCGACTCGTCGAAATAGGGTTCGTGAGCGACTCTGGCTCGCAAAATCACGAGCCTAAGCGCGAGCCGAGCGGGCCTCGCCGAGAGACGAGCCGAGCTCGCTCGGCTCTCGGCTCGTGGCTCACGAATCTAGTGACCTAAACGTTCGCTTTTTAAAAAAAAAAGTGATCGTTTTGGTCACTTTTTCAGTGACCAAAAGGTCACTGGAATTATTTTTTAAAAATTTTTTTTCTCTTCTACTATAAATATCCATTAATTCCTTTTTTTTTCATATTATTATATCAATTATCTCCTTTCAATCACTATTTCTCATTTCTCAACTCTCTTTTATTATATAAATTATCGAGTTTTTACTCTCTTGTGCTGTAAAATATGCAATATCGATTCATTTTTTACAGTTTATTCAGTTACAATTTCAATTCATCCAATTCTTAATTCTCACAATCTTACTACATTTATATTTTTCTAGTAAT